TGACTCCTGAGAATTGAAACTATGTAAGCATGACTGTCTGCAAAACCACACCATGAATTATGTAAAGTACTGAGAGATGGGAGGTGTCTCAAAGTCATAAATGTGATTTTAGAATGAAATCTCCAAAGATATTTTGGTGTCCATTCCCTAATGATTCCATGTTGCATTCAAGTCTGAATTGATTCTGGGTTTCTAACTTTATACTAATGAATACCAAAAAGAAAATTTCTCTGATGTTCTCTATCCTATACCTAAAATTAATCATCTGTGTCCTTGAAATTTAATTAAACCAGATAGTCTTTTAAATAGTTTTTACACCATATGTTGGAAAAGAGTAGCAAAATTAAAAGAATAAATCACATCAGAGAGTAAATTAAATACACTGTTTGAAGCCAGCCTCTCTCTCATTTTCCTCATTGTTAAAGCTGAGTCAATGCTGACAATAAGCATTTAAAAGTGGTGAGAACAAAGCACTTCAAAATGCATTGTACAGAAAGTTGAGCATGTAAGGCATTGAATAGGCTAGATTTTCTAAAGTGTTTTCCCCATGTCTGATTGCTTTGGTGTGAAACTGGTAGTATGAAATACATTCTAGCCCTGATGGAGTAGAAATAAAAGCTTTACAAAAATGAAAAATGGAAAAAGGAAAACCATTTCAGAAGTATTACCCCCATTTATATGTTGCTCACTGTAAAGCTTAGTCAAGAAAATTTAATGCCATCAATTTTTAAAGCACAAAAAAAATCACTAAATTCATAAAGGGTAATTAAAAATGAGAAAAATATATAATTCTTGTTTAACAAAAATCGTTTAAAGCTAATACCTAAGCCTGTTCATTATAACATCATAAGACAATAGTCATAAACTTATGTTGTTGAAAAAACATCTATGGAAAGTACTTGTCCAAATCTCAGGAAAGAGAATTAGTTTACAACTGATAATTCTTCTAAAATACTCAGGGTGTGAACATCTGAAAGAAAACCATCGAAAGAACATTTTCCTCTTGTCATTAATTTCTTTTCTGTTTCTCATCCTAGTTTATGGACCTTTTCCCTATGCCTTAATCAATGACAGATGGATTTGTGACTCTGTATTATGTAACACCTTACTTCACATCTCTTTAGAAAAATAAAGTTAATAACTTCAATGGCAGCAGATTCTGCCACTCCAGTTGATGTCCAGTGGCTTCCAGCTGCTCTTTAATTTTGGTTTTAAAATCTATAAACACATAAATAGTCTGGGATTTATGCAAGTGAGATCCTGCCCAGTTTGAAATTAATGTGTTTTAAGCATAGTCTGATTAAAATAATGATAGAGATGTTTGAAAAGTCATTTGGACTATTTTATCAGTGACTAAGCTAGTGAACAGGTTGAAGACTGTCAGTAGATGAGTGTCCATGGTAGATATGTCAGAGGTTATGAACTGAATATGACCTTGAGAATGAAGAGTGGTGCTGCAGCCCCACCCGAGAGTACCCCAGGTAAGTTGTGCAGTAGTTCACCAAACCCCTAGGTCAAAGGAAGACATATCCACTACTTAAAGGAAAGCACTTAAGGTCAGTTCTTCATCTCACCTTTTGAATTATAATTCTAAAAAGGGTTCTTTATCAAAGTGTATAAATTTGTTTTTCTTTGTGACTATTCCCCCAAGTCCTTTATATGTAACAGGGTGTTGGAAGATTGTCTAAAATGCAAAATTGTGGTTTTGTCATAAGATTATGGTGGTTTGGAGACAGATTTTTTTAATTACATCCATAATGCTAAAGAAAATCAGATGGGGGATTTAATTGCTCCTGAGGCCAGATATCACCACATGGCTCATGATGGCAGTGTGTGGCATCAGCCCCAGTGGAACAGGTTTGTCTGGGAGAAAGCTTTTTGGTGTGATCTACCACAGAGTGTGCTAACCCACAAGCAGCATGGACAATGGACTTCCAGAGCCTGGGCTGATTCCCCAGCTCCCCTCAGCAGCACAGAGGAAGCCTTTCTGCCCCTCTGCTTCATTTTGAGTGGAACCAGTTTAGTGGCTCAGTGGGCTGAAAGGACACAAGCCCACTTCGGCAGTCTCATGGCAAAAGTATCCTCTTACCACAGACATGTGGGTCTTGATATCTCCAGGGTTTCATTTAACTGTAAACACTATTGGCACTTTCAAGGGGCAGAGATCTCACCCCCCTGAGGTCTTTCAGGCAGTATCTGGTCAGGTGGAAGAGCTCTGATGGGGTCAGGTCTTGCCTGTGAGACCTGGCAGCGCTCAGTGTGCAGGCACATGCCAGATTGCAAAGCTCCTTTGGCTCCTGGGGGATTTTATTGTTAAAAATCCCATGGTGGTTATGGAGCTGTGGCATCTCCAGAGCTGGAAGTGGGGCTGTAAGGGCCCTGGCTTTCCTTGCTCCGGGTGGTACTTAAATGGTCCCAACAGCTACAGCTTGGGTGTCTCTAGTGCTGTGTTTGTGCAAATGCATAATGTCAGGTATAGGAACAGGTGGGTATAGAATGACAGTGCTATTCTCCTAATCAATTGTTTAGGCTTTGAAAAAAGTTTTTTTGATAAAGGTTAAAAACCCCCTTCATAAACAATTTTTTTTTGTTTTCTTTTGTTTTGTTTTTGCAACCAGCAAATAGTTCCATGTTGGGAAAACAGTAACAAACTAATCCAGAGATTTGTTAGGGAGAAGGACATTCAAATCTCTTCAAGCAGAGAGGGAAACAGCACGTATCACTCATACCCCAGGTGGATGCTGTAACTTTTGTACCCAGGGTAAATCTAATCTGCTGCAGTCCTAAATAAAAAACTAATATGGGGATTGGACTTGTTTCCCTCTGGCTTTTGTGGGAAAGAAATGGCACAGACAACTGCCTGGGTGGGAAAAGCAGGGCTCTAAATCCCACTGGGATATAAGTGGCTCTTTACAGTTAAGGGTTGAGTGCTGAATACCTAAAATAATTTGATTTAAACATCCCTGTCCCTAATTTCAGATGGCTTCCCACTCAAGTTGCTACAGCGTAAGCTCTAAAGGAAGGCTGTGACATTGGAGATGAATTGCTCAGCCCCATGTGATAAAGCTGTGATACACCAGGGCACAGTGGATGTCAGGACTCTCCAAGCTTGCATTGAGCTCAGTACTTTTTATTCTTCCCACAGATCTCTCAGGAGCAACAGAAATTAAATTTTTTAAAAATGAATGAAGTACATATGGCAACACAGCTGCTGAAAATCTGTTACCCTTTTTAATCACCTCTCATGTCCTGGGCATGCATTTTATCCTTCAAACTCAGTAAAATGAAAAACACTGTGAGGAAGGCATCTCCCTGTGTTACTGGGGGATCTGGTAGTGTTATTAAGTCATTAAGTCATGCAAGAGAAGCCTTGCCTAAAAATGCTATCCAGAGCTTAGGTCTCAGTGGGTTCATCTTTAAAATACTTTACATACTTATAATCACTAGGACAAGCAGAGTTTGCACAGAGATACTGCAAACTGCAAATAAATAAAATTGAAAAAGCAGAGGACCAGCCTTCTTTTTCTTAATGATGGCGAACTTTTGAAATGAAAAGGTTATAAGCCCTGGGTAAGTGCTCAAACAGCCTTGCAATAACACCATTTTCCACCTGCTCGTGGATACACTGTAGAACAGACCTTCATGCTGAAGTTACAGGGTCTCCGAAGCACTGTTTACTGCCTACCCTCCTTCCATAAGCATTCAATGCCATAAGCAGTCAGAGTGACTATTTCTCATTTGGTATCCTTGAATCACACTATTGGTTATTCACCTTTGCGTGACAGCTCCAAGGTAGGGAGAGCAAGTTGGGTGATATATTCAATTCCAGTCCTGGAGCTGGGGAGAGAGAAAAATGCTACTTTTGAAAGAGGTTTTTCTGTGAAGGAGCAGTGATTTACATCCTGAATAGGTGCAAATTATCCTCCCTTCCCACCCCCGAGTTCAGCCAATATACTCATTATCCAATATCTCGCTGCTGTGATGCTTTTTTTTCTTGCAGTTTTTGATTTTCTGTTAAGTTCAGAAGGCTGTGGTTTGGTAGAAGATATGAGGGAGTATTTCCTGTGAGGGACTGGGCTCCTTATCAGCCCCAGAAGTGGTCATTTTCAGTCAACAGTGAAGCATCTGTCGGTCAAAGAAAAGGTCTTTAACTAGAACAAGCTACTGAACTTACAATCCTGCTGGAATGAAAAAGAATAGAGCTGCTTTGTCTGTTGGTTTTGAATCCTTCATGGAGAATTGCCAGTGACTTGTGTATTATTGTTCTCTCAGACAGGAGAAACATTAGGGAGAATTTACCAGCACAGTCACAAGCCTTTCATCACAGTTATTATAGTGATAAAGTTCAGTGGTAGTTACTCACCTCTCCAAAAACAAATATCACCCACTCAGACTAGAGAGAATGGATTTCTGCGGGGTGATGCTACATTAGCTCATGTTACTGCACCTGACTCCCAGCTACCACTAAATCCAAGTGCCCAGTGCACTTTGAAGTACTGATGGTCAGAGCACTCCTGTGAGCAAGGAGAGACCATGATCTTACCCTTGTTTCGTAGGTTTGAGATGGAGCAATGGAAACACTGAAATTAACTTGGCCCCTGGATCTCTGGGTCTTTCAGTTCAGCCTGTCTGGAGCAGACACTCTGCTACCAACATGACTGTGTTTCCCCCACAGGAAGCTCAAGGAGAGCAATATAAACTCGTGGAGTCAAATCTCTTCCCTATAGGGCTGTGATACAGCTTGCTGCTTAGGGCACTTGATTTAGACATAGCTAGGAAGATTAAAGCTCAGATTCACAAACACTGGAAGTCACATGGTTTCTGCATATTTTCATGTGGGTTTTAACTTCTTGTTTGTCTTTAAAACCAGGACTTTGTATCATTGCATAACCAGGTAATTTGCTGAGGTGCTTTGCAGGGGTGCACCTCAACTACTCAACTACATGGTATGCTCAATAGACAGCTGATTGTGTGTCTTACTTGTCCTCTTTATCCTCCAGGAAGACGAAGTTGCTCGTGACAGTCGATTCAATTTCAGTGGCTATGGCATGGGCCACTGCCTCCAAGTCAAAGATGGCACAGCAGTCAAGGCTACGCCACCCAACCCACCTCCGGCACCACCAAAGGATTCAGAATCCATCAAAAAGAAGTTTGTTGACCGTGCAAAAAGGATTGATACAATATCCCGTGCTGCGTTCCCACTCGCCTTCCTCATTTTCAACATCTTTTACTGGATTACATACAAAATTATACGGCATGAGGACATTCACAAGAAATAGGCAACTCTGGTTCGCCAGGACTTCTTAGCCAAAGTGATCCACGTGTAAATAAACAGTGAAATGTCTTTATGTCATATGGACTAAGGATTTCTTCCCCACTCCCCCACAACACTGGAGAAAAAATTAGCAAAGAGGAAAAGAAGTGTAGAAGGAAAAGTGATTCCATGACAAAATACGCTGTGAGACCGGTCAAGAGGCTCCCCCTATGTACTCCTAGTGTGTTCTTCCAGATTCAGCATTGATCAGACATCTATATTTGGGGCCAAATTTTATCCAGCTTTATCACCAAGATATTACCTTTCAGAACAAAAGAGAATCAGAAAACAAACTATTATCCTAAAACATCTATCAAGAGACTGTGGTGGCTACAGTACAGTGAGTTATAAGAGGACCAAAATTTTTCAGGATAATGTTGCCTTTCTATTTGAAACAAGTCTACTGAGCTACATTCCGTGACCATGTCTGTAGGTAGTGGTTTCACCAAGGAGTCCTTTTGTGGGTTGTAAATTATTTCTACTGATAGGGGAGAGGGAAAAAAAAAAAAAAAAGAAAAAAATTTATACTTTACTATCCTTGTGGATGTGCATTTTAATATTATCTTGCTTTACTAGAATTGTAATTTTGGGGTTGAACTTGTGTGTCATGTGATTTATTTGATAGTTGACACTCCAAAAACAGTGAAACTGCCCGGTTTATTTCTGTTGGGAGACAGTGCACTTAATTTTATTTCTGCTGATTTTACATGCAACTTGAGGTGCCAAACTGTATTTTACCTATTGTGCTACCCTGTACCACACTACTTAGTAAGAACTTGTTTCCTCAAAGGTGTAGCTCAGTTTAGCATTGAGTTTCTATTACCGCTCTCATTGTAGCTGCAGTCAATAGCTCTATAGGTAAACACAACTTGTTTACAGACCTCTAATTTATATCTTTACTCAAAGTGGCTATCATTTTAAATATCATTAATTAACCTAAGAATTTTAAAACTGTACTGTGATTTTCAGAACCTGTTACCTTTTGGTGCCAGATCTGCGTTATTCAAATCCTTGCTACATGTTTTAAAGTAGAAAATTTAAAAAAAAATTAAAAAAAAAAAGAAGAAAAAAAGATGGTATTTTTGCTTACATGGAAGAAGACAACCTGTAACATAAGATGAGTAAAACATTAAAATTTTACACTTGCTGTAAAAGGGTTTATTAAAAAAAAGGTATTTGTTCAATTTCAATAAAGCTAAATGTGGTACTAACATTTCTTCACTCTTCTTCATTTGCAGCAGCAGCAGCAGCAGCAGCAGCAGCAGCAGCAGCAGCAGGGCTGTTCGTGCCACAGCCCAGCTCTTCCACTGCTCTGTCAGCAGAAAGAGGGTGAAAAGCAGCCTTCTGCTGACATGACAGCACACCAAATTTTTCTATCTATCCTGCAGCAAAGGGACTATTGCAGCCCCTGGGAGTACGTCAAGGACTGTCAGAAGTGTGTCTGGGATATGATGGGAGCATTTGTAGAACATTTGCATGTGCTGAGAGAGGTCTGGGGGAGGAGGGACACTGCTCCCCTCTCACAGCATCCCTGCACAGCAAGAAATACAGGCCAGCTTCACATGGGCTGTGCCTGGCCTGGGGGAGTCTTGAACTTTCTTCTGGCTTTCTTACTTTCTTCTGGCTTCAACACTTTGGTGAGCTGAAGGGCATGCTGAGATGGCCTGTGCCAGGTGCCTCTGGTACACATGGGAATGACCAATAGTTTAAAAGCAAACTAAAAACTGCATTCAGTTTTCTGTCCTTCCCTTGTGAGCCCCAAACACACACACTGCAGCTGCCCAGTACAAACATTTTTTCCCACTCCTCTAATGAGATGCGGTACTGAGACATACTGAACCTTCAGCACCTCTCACTCTGCCTTTGTTCCTGGTCCAACTTCTGCTGAGAGAATACAGGCTCCACAGCCTGTCTGAGCCTGTATTTGTGTGCTTATGTGCCTGTGTTCCCATCTGTCTCCACATGGCTGCCTGCAGCTACCAGGCTTTGTTCCTCCCCAGAACAGGGGAGGGAATCTGGAGGTCGTGACGACTCTGATTCTGAATAATAAATGGGTGACAAAAATCCAGTCATACATTTTATATTCCCAATCCCTCCTCAGCTTTGTAGAGTCTTCTGTTGCTTACACCTCTGATGGTACTGACAACATCACCTCCACCTTGTGGAGACTGTGGATCCAGATGTCACTGACAGCCCCAAAATAGTAACAAGTCAGAACTCAAAACAACTGTCCAAACTATTCTGCTTTGAAAAACAAGCTTTTGATGCAAATTTAAATATCATATTTGCAATTTTTATAGTATTACATTTGCTTTTATTCATTCTTAAAGTGGAACAGTATTTGATTATAGACAATGTAGTAGGGGAATACCCCATCACAATCCTAGTACCATGAACTGTGGCGGGGTGAGGATACCCAGCTGTAAACTATATTTTTATGGGAAGTTGAGAGGCTTCACTGGTGTGTAAACATTCAGACCTCACTTTTACTAACCCCTTCTTCCAAAAACAGTGCTTCAAATGAAGGTGTAATGGCAGCATTAATCAGGACTAATCCTCAGTGCCCAGATGTGTTGCAGAGATTCTCATGAATATCAGAGTCTATTGCTCACAGCTGCCCCAAATGACTGCAGACCACTGCAACAGGAATGCAAACCTACTCCCAGCTGATGGATATCTTTATATCCCTTTCTGTGGGGAAGCACATGTGCCTCCAGCATCCACACCACAGATTCACCTGCACTCTTTGCAGTGCTTATTAGCATTTACTAAACAGGTCACTAAAATATCTTGCTGATCAGAACAGAGGTTTGGTGACAGTATCCATGGGAAGGTTGCTCTGCTGTTGCCTGCTGTATAAACTGTGGTCCAGTCATGAGAATAATCTGTGCACAAAATCTGGATAGCTTTCTCTCTCTCTCTCTCTCTTTTGAAGACAGAATTTATGGCCACATGACAATTGCTCAATTAGTCATGAATATTGAAATTATCTAACTAAATTTTGGAAACTAACTGTGTGCAAATGGACAAGGCCCACCAAGCACAACAATCAGGAATGGCCACATGATACAGAAAAGTTGCCACATGCTGGCTGGTGGTCTGTGAACATCTATTAAAGAACCTTCTCTCAAAGAACATGGCTGGCACCAGAAACTGGTTTAGAAACTGCCTGCAGATAAAACATCAATTAACAAGGATAGCAGGACACAACTTTCTAGACAAATTCTCAGTAGGGTTAACAAAGGAAAAAGGACTCAAAAAGTGATCACCTTGTACTCAGGGAAGTAGCAGAATTAAATAGTGAAGCAGTTTTATTTCAAGACACCATTGCAAGAGGAAAAAGAATGGCTTAGAAAATAAATCCCAGACAAACAGCCTTTGTGATACAGGAGACACAGCAGGATGGAAGGAAAGAGACCCAGGATTAATTCTGAAGAGATTCCACAAATATTGGAAAGCCTGCGTGGTAGAATTCTAGCTGGTAAAATAAAATTAAGCCCTAGGGCATTTAAACGACTTGCATTTAGTTATAAGACAATTATAATGACTTCTACCTTACTAAGAAAGCTTAAAAAACTTTAAGTATGTCTTTAAAGGATGCAAAATCATCAGGTCAGGTCATTGGCATCCTGTTGTTACAGGCTGGACCTGAGTGATTCAGAAGTCAAGGGGAAATGTTTAGCCATCTCTCACCAGACAGATGCTGCGATAGGTGCTGTGATAAAGCCCAATTGATAAAAAGATCTTTAAAAAATCCTTACTACATTAGGAGTAAAGTGAAAAATAAGGAAAAAAATAGTGCAATATGAAATGAGGGACCTCTGGTTGCTACTCTTTCCTGGTTTTTTTCTCTCCAGATTTCTTTAGGTGGCAGAGCCATCACCTGTGATGTACTGAATCAAATGTGGTGTAGCAATAGAAGCTTTTGGAGTACCCAAAAGGAGATATCAACAATTCATAACTGCTGGAGGACAACTCCAGATATGCAATGACTCTGGGGTCAGATTCTTTCATGTGCTACAGAGGTGAGGAGTAAGAGTGAACCTCATCCACAGACACTGAGACTTTCTCACTTTGATTCCTTTATTTCCCAGCATGAGATGTTGAAAGCAATAGGAAGGAGCTGATGGAAAACTAATGTTTGTCTACTGCAGGCTGAACTGCTGCAGCTCTTCATCTTTACACAAACCTGCCTGACATTGGTGGCACAGGAGCTGCTGCCCAAACATGGGGCACCAGCCCAAACTTACAGCCTTTTGCAGCTGATGTGACTGAAAATATTGTGGAAGAATCTGAACTAGTCTTTGAGATTACAGACAGGCATTTCCTGGGAAGAGCTTTTATTGGACTGAATTGGTGTCTTTGCCTCAGCAATAGGATTCTGCATCTGCACCTGGAAGTCACATTTTATGAACTTATTCAAAAGATCTGATTCAGTCCAATAGTGGCATTTCCGTATTTAGAAATATATTTCTAAATACATGAATATATATTTAATGCGTGTTTATAAAAAGTATATGCACAGCTTTCTTATCAATTTAAAATTAGAACACAGCAATGAAAAAAGAAACAAAATATTTGTACAAAGATCACCTTTGTACTGCACAAAGTAGTATGAAAATTATTTTATTTAATATATTCATTTTCATTATCTATAATGTAGTACCTGTGGAAAATTATCTCCTGCCAGACTTTGAAAGTAATTTATTCTAATGATTTTTGGCATAGAGGTTTGTGTCTTACAGTATTTTGTAAAACTAGAAAACCAAAACCAAGGCTTCCTAGAGAAACTTCCGCCTGAGAAAATATTCTAAATGAGAACATGTTTCCTCCATAAATGCCCCTCACAGATTTTACATTAAAAATTAATCTTTTCTAGTTTAATAGGAAGATAAAAAGAAGATATTTTTGTCAGTTGAAGATACCTTTCCTAATTTTGCATGGCAATTGTGAAATATCATAAAATTTAGGGCTTAGCTGCAGAGCAAGAGAAGCTTCACCAGTTCCAAATTCATCCATCCAATTTACTTCCAAATCCAATGCAATGCTTACTGAAAGCAGAAGGGAAAAAAAAATCTTCAATAGTTTCTAGATAAGTGCCTAATAAAGCATCGGTTTCCAACACCAAGCACTAGAAATAATCTGAGAGGGAAAATATTCAGAGTGGATTAGCTCTCTTCCTCTCAGGAGGAATAGAAAATTGAGTCAAAATAAGCATCTCAGATAATAATTAGGAAAACTGACTCTGTATGAAATACATACACTCAGTTCTTTAAGTTGCCACTGAAATGAACATGCTAAATAATTATCTTTGCTATGATGAAATCCTGTCAGGCAATATTAGGAAAAAACTAGTGAATACCAGGGATCCTGATCACATTTTGCTTGTGCTAAAAATTGGATTTTACTGGGACAAATTATATGACATCCTCTCTAGTCATCTGAACAGCTATAAAACTGATTCAAAACTAGCTCCTTCAGATTATCACAAGGTTTGATTCTGATGTCCAGCAGAGTGGACATCTGTTGTGGAGATGGTGGACAGAGTGTGCCATGCCAGGAAGATGGCAGCTGGATGCATCCCTCCTTTTTCCACAGGAGAAACAGCAAGATCCCTGAGAGTGCACACAGGAAGTATATTTCATAGCAGTGTTTAATGAAAATGCTTTAGACAGAGCAGATTTCCACCCTACCTTTGCTTTGGCATGAATCCATTTTCCCTAAGAGTGCCACCCTTGATATCACAGGGTCAGGCCTGTGGCTGGACATGTTTGGAAATCACATATTTATCACCTGGTTTCTGGAGCATACCTTCCCTGTTTTCCCTTTAATACAAAAAGAGAAAAGAGCTGTGCCAGTGCATGAAACATTGTGGAACCAGAGCGAATCTTTAGCAGGATTTTCCAGTGAGAAAACTGGAGAGCACTAATGATTTCATTCACACTGGAGACACTACCTTCTCCTTCTCTCCCTGCATTGTCAGGCAGAGATGTTATGAAAAGGCATGAGAGTCTGGCAATGAAGAAGTTGCCAATGCATGGTTAAGTTGTCCTCTTTTACGAGCCATTGCTTGGAGTTCAGAGGGGACACATGTATGGCTGCTTTTGGGGGAGACCAAGGAGAGCAGCATGGACAAATGTCTGTGATGAGCTAATTAACCTTTAGAAAAGAAGAGCGAGCGCATTTTTCCTGTAATAAGCTAATGAACTCTAT